TAAGGTTCATATTATATTTTACATATTTAATGTCAATGATTTGACATCCTAACATTAAATGTTATTATTTTTCATTTTCTTATATTATAATAATAAAATGGATACGTCAACGACTTAAATAATTCAGTGATTATCTCCTTTTGTTAGAAGTAAAAAGTTTTGAATTTGACTCGCATAATATGCAGATGGAATGGAATAAGGGATTGAAAATGATTTTTTTTTTTTGAATAAAAATGTATTATAAACTATGAGTACAAGGGGTACTCGCCCATTACATTAGGATAAGTGCTGTGTCATATTAAAAATGAGTTGTACATAATTTTGGGAATTGACACCAGTCACTAAAACAAAAAGTAGCAAGTTTCAATTTACCTTTTATCCAAGCAAATGTTTTGGTCTTTACTAGCTCGATTAAATTGTCCTCATCCCATTCAAGTTTATTGAAAGCAATTCCATTTCTAAAATACCAGATGGCCCAAGCAGTAGTAAATATGGAGAGGACCCAACAATCTTTAACATCTTGAGGGATTGGCAGTGAGCAAAGCTGAGTAAGCAGATCGAGGGCCTTGTCAGGAAAAACAAGAGAAAAACCCCACCAACAACATATGCGGCTCCAAATTCTTTGGGAGTAAATGCATGTGGCAAAAATATGATTTGCATCCTCTAAATAACCATTACATAGCACACAACCAGATCTAGATGCTAAGTCAATACCACGTTGGATGAGATTGTCCTTTGTGGGAAGGCGATTTAATAGAAGACGCCAAGAGAAGACATTGAATTTTGTGGGTATAAGATGACTCCATATTAACTTGCAGTAGAATATATCCAGACAAGGGGGAGACATGTCAAGAAAAAGATATGCCATTTTTGTAGTATAACCAGCAGGGCAGTGCTTCCATATAATTTGATCTGATTTTCCTACAGAGATGCTGACATTTTGTAGGATATCTTCCAAGAGTTGAAGCTCATCTAGTTCTCTTCCAAAAGGGGGTCTGCGCCATTGGAGAATCCATCCCTCACCCTTGGTTGGTTTTAGATTAGCCACCAATAAGTTCTCGCTAAGAGTGAGCTTGAATAGTCGAGGGAAAACAAGCATTAGTGGAGAAGTTTCCACCTAGGCATCTTTCCAAAATCTGATTCCATATCCATCACCAAATTGACGAGAGAAACCTTCAGAGAAGCACTTGGTATTTCTTTCACAATCCTTGCTAATAGATAAAATATCCTTCCAAATTGCAGATATTTTTGAAGATGTAGTGTTGGAGATTGAAACAGTTGAAGTGCCACTATAGTACTTGCTAATAGTTATCTTCTTCCACAATTTCTCATTTTCAGCATCATCATAAAACTTATCCCACCACTTTCCTAAAAGGGCAATATTTTTAATAGCAAGGTTTGGGATGCCAAGGCCACCCTTATTTTTTGCTAGACATACCCTTTCCCAGTTTACCCATCCAATCTTCTTAGACTCATCTGAGTTCCCCCATAAGAAGTTCTTTTGTATTCTAATGAGCTCTTTTAAGACGCCTTTTGGAACTTTAAAGATAGAGAAGTAGAATAGAGGTAAAGCAGAAAGTACCGACGTGAGAAGAGTGATGCAATCACCGATTGAAAGAAGCTTTCCTTTCCAAGATGCCAATTTTGATCGGAACTTTTCAATCACTAGCTTCCAAAAAAGAATGACGGTGAGGATTTCCTCCAACAGGGAGCCCCAGGTAAATGAAGGGAGTTTTCCCAGCTTTGTAGTTTAAGGCAGAGGCAGCCATGCTAATCCAAGTCTCATCCACATTGATCCCGATTAGTACACTTTTATTAAAATTTATTCTGAGGCCCGACATAATTTCAAACCATCTCAGAGCATACTTGATGGCCAAGATGGAATTGATAGAGGCCTCACAAATTAGAGCAGTGTCATCAGCAAACTGGAGGTGAGAAATATAAGTTTTATCATCAATCACCACTCCCTTAAAGACGTCTTTTTTTTGTGCTTCAAGGAGAAGAGCATGAAAACCTTCAGCCACAATAAGGAATAAATAGGGAGAAAAGGGGTCTCCCTGTCTCAAACCTCTCTGCATATTGAATTCCTCAGTTGGGCTACCGTTGACAAGAATTCAGATGGAAGCAGACCTTAAGCACTCGTTAATCCAGCTTCGCCATTTCTCACCAAAACCCAAAAAAGAAAGCATTGTATCAAGATATCCCCAATCCACAGAATCAAATGCTTTTTCAAAATCAGCCTTGAATATAATGCCCTTCCTCCTTTTAATTTTCAAGTCATGTATAATCTCATTAAGAGCAAAAGAGCAATCAACAAGTTGTCTACCCTTAATAAAAGCAGATT